TAAAGGATCTCTTCTTCGGCAACTGCTGGAGGGCCGCATATCCAGCACAGTTCTCGTGGCTGCCCCGGCCGATCCGGTATAAATTGGTGAACAGCGCCGTCGTCGGCTCTATCCCAAGCTCATCGCATCGGATAAGGAACCCAACGATGAGGGAGTAGCTGTTCGGAGTCAACAAAGCCGGTGGGAGGTCTATCATGCCCAGGTACTCCACAACAAAAGGGGGAAGAGGAAACCTCAGGCCCTGGGAGAAGCTCATCGGATACACCCCGAAATAACCGGGGGGAGGGTTCAGGACATGCTCCATCGGCTTTGGCGCCCTCACCTTTCCATAAGGGCCTACATACAACTGTGCCACCTGGTATTCGCTCTGGATGCTCTCCGGCCTTATAATGTAAAGATTCGTCAGATCCAATTGAGAGCGCCCGCCGGATCCCCCTTTCCGCCGACGCGATGCACGTGTTTTCGCCGCCCTAGAAGACGACGCCCCACCCGGCACAGACGAAATAGGTGGAGGGCAGGGGATGGCGGCCGAAGAGGCATCACCCGCTTCGTCTCCCCGAAGCTTGGGTTCCGAGCTCGCCTCGTCCTCGCCCGATTGTTGGGAACCCGCATCGTCATTCAGACGCTCCTCGTCCTGAGAAGTGCGGTAATCGGCAGTATTCTCCATCTCTGTTTCAAACGCTCGAACTATTTCAAGATTCACTCCAGGAGACGGGTCCTCGTCGTCAAAAGGCCAGTCCGACTCGTCTAAAGAAGCTGTTAAGTTAAGAGGGGAGGGGACGCTACGGCCGTCAGGGAACGGCATAACAACTATGCTACGTCCTAAGGGTTGTTCGAGGATCAAAGTGATTTTTCCTAGAAACACTAGATCTAACCCCCTAGAAAGCAAAGTATAAAGAAAAAAGGAAGAACAATTCAAGAACCTAACCTTGGAGTGGGTGAAGATCCGAAGAACTCTTGAAGATTTCTGGGAAGCACTTTATCTCTCTAGAAATCTCAGCAGCACTTCAACTATAGCAAAAGCAAATGAGGAAGGGGCTTCGGAATGAGGGGGTATTTATAAACATCCTCCAACGGTCACTACACGTGGCACCCACGCATTGGCCACGACAACGGCCACCCTTCTCCCAACCAATCAGGGGACACCAATTCAAAATCACTCAAACAGGCATCGCTACGGCCCAACTCAACCTTACAAAGGCAAGGTATCGGCTGGATACCGCTACGGCCCAATTACTACAAAGCTCCAGAACAGGCATCGGCCCATCCTCCCGAAAAAGGAACGCATCGGCCTAAAACTCAACGTCCTCACAGCAACCCAAGGAACCTTAATAGACCGCTACGGCCGCCGTGCGCGCATCGTCGATGATAACCCTGGCATTGCGGCCTTCGTCCAAGGGTTCTCCCACAGGGTTACCTTGGACAGGTTCGCCTAAGGGTTGGAGTCACGACTAACGCATAGGTACCGGATCGGTTCATTACTCCCTTGTGCCTCAGATGCTCTTCGGCCAAAGGAGTGGGGGACTGGGGGACTGCATCGGCCACAAGAAAACGCAACGGCCTCAAATGCAAAGAGGGCACGCTACGGCTTTCCTACAACAAAAAAAAACTGGGGATCGCATCGGCTACAGAGCCCAGGAATTAAAACCCCAAGATAAAGAAAATCTAACGCAACGACTACGTACACTGAGAGGGCCGCATCGTCTCACCATAACAAAAACTCACAAGCCAAGACGCTTCGACTGCATAACAAATCAAAGGTGCGCATCGCATCGTCTGCATAAACAGAATCAACCATCCTCTCACGAAAATATGTCTTCGCTACGGCCAAAAGGATAAATGGGAGCTCTTCAACCCCAACAAAGACGACAATGAAAGCATGCCAACTTATCCACACCGGAATTCATCACATCACCTACAAGAAAGAAAGCGCATCGCCTCGTCTTCAAAAGCACTTCCACAGAGAGTGCATCGGCCAGCATCAAGGCTACGAATTCCCAGGCGCGCTTCATCTACATCAAGTAAGGGAACCGCTTCGTCCAAAATCGAAGCAGAAACTCTTCGACCATCAAGCACCTTGGGCTCACGCAGCGGCTAGCCCGAAAAGAACAAGTACTCCCTTTCGCTTCGGCTTCACCTCAGCTCAGAGAGTGGGGGACTCCTGATAGAGTATATGGGTCTGGACCCCATGGCCCACATACTCAACGGCCCAAAAGACACCAGCGGGACACCCGCATCGTCCAGAGACACGTAGCGCCCAAGAGAGAAGATATCGCCGGATTTCTATAGACCGCATCGTCCATGGACCGCGTCGTCCATGGACCGCGTCGTCTATGGACCGCGTCGTCCATGGACCGCATCGTCCATGGACCGCATCGTCCGGACTTCGTCCGGGCAGAATGTATTTTCCTATTTTTTTGTACTAAGTGTTGTACTCAGCCCATTAGTGGCCTTATTCGCCCAAAGAAGGCATGATTATTGTAATGGGCCTCCTAAGCCCAAGGCTAGGGGCCCAAATCTACATTTTTACCTATAAATAGACCCCAAGGGGCTAATTATAGGGGATTCTTTTCCCAATTGAGAAATACAATTACTCACTTTCTCTCTCTAGCTCTCACTTCTCTCTAGAATTAATACTCTATCAAAGTCATAACAGGATATTGTCGCCTATGAAATTTAAAAGGCAAGCTGGCATCGGATGGCGTCAAGGACAATCTAGAAATTAATACTTTTTGTCCAGCACTCACACCAGTGAATCCAGAGGCTGATCATCGCGAAAGACAACACTTTGTTCTTCCGGAAAACTGAAGCTCAAACGTTCAACATCCGGGGTCTTATATTGAATTTCAAACCCAAGTATGCGCCAAGCAGCCTCACAAACGGAAATGTATCTACATTCATAGTACATCTGTATCTCATCGACTGATCGTGCATCGCACGGTTGGTGATTTCTTTCCTAAAAAATGTACATAACTACACAATACATGTACTATTGAAAGAGCCCCACCTTAGAGGAAATGCGTTGAACGCTCGTGCGATGCACGGTTGGTGAAATTCCACAGGTGTAGTTAGTTTTAATCAAATTTATTTTGAAATAAAACCAAACTTGTAATTTTAATTGAATATGACTAAAAAAAGTTATACTATATTCTATATAAAGTTCTTATAGTATGTATCACGCACTATAATTTTGATTGGTTATTATTAACCCAACCACGCAAAGTTGAATATGACATAAAATGCTTTCAGACGAGGAATTCGTGGCGAAATTCATCCATGAAAGCTCGGAGAGGTTAAGGAAGAGGCATCGGGATTTCACGACAGGGTTGTCCTGATTTGGGATCAACATGCTAAATAAAAAAATAAAATGTAACATTTTTTTTAATTCTAAAACGCAATACGTTTTGAGATTTAGTTAAACTTTCATTTATAAAATTCATGGATTGGGGTTTGTATAAGTTTTTCTACTTTTTGTAGAGTTGATGGTTGGGATTATTAAAAGAAGAGTGATCATGGTTCAAAATTTTTATAGAATACGCTTAGTTCCTATTTAAAGGTTAAAACTGTTATAGAAGGTTATACCCGGACATGTATGGATCATTATTGGCGAGCGATCCATATAGTTGTTGGGATTATAAAAAAATAATCAGTAGACAGTAGTTGAGATTATTATTAACAAACCGACAATAATTGGGATTATTATTTTCAACTTTTCCTAACATATATTCAAACTTAATTTGCAATCACCACTTCACCGTTCCGTCAAAAAGTAAAAGAAGGTGAAAGTATAAATTAAAAATGTAGCAAGGAAAAATATGGCAGTAACATGCCTCAAAACTAAATTAATGTCCTTAAATTGTCGAGTGCTAAAAATATTCAGTTTTCTTTCGTAAACTTAATTAGATATATTGTTCCAAAAAAACTTAATTAGATATATATCATGTATGTGATGAATTCTTTATAGGAATATATGGAGTACTTAAAAACAGTAGTTGACTTAAATTTTAACATTATATTTGAGTCCATGTATTCACCTTGCCGAAATTGTTGATTGACTCTCTAAAAAGCACAAATAGAGCTACTACTTTTAAAATTTCCCAAATAGGATTTTGATGAAGAAAAAAAATCCTCAAATATGACTAAACATTTATTTTCTACCCTAAATATCACTAAGAGTATTAGTTCATAATGAAATTTGGGATTATGTCTAAAATATTACTAAAAAAAGAACTATGGACAAAAAGTGACCTTATTCCTCCGTTTCTGAAAATGAGACTATAAAGACATTAAGAGACTATTATACCCTTATACTAATATTTTTTCACCCATTATTGCTACAGTAATGTCATAGTGAACAATAACACTATAGTTACCAAAATTCGTGAGTGACCAAATATCATTAGTGAGCAAAAATCAAAATCCATTAGTGACCAAAATTATTAGTGATAAAAAATTCCGCCCAGTTACCAATGTTCGATCATCCAGTGACAGTTAATCGACCCGTCCAGTTACAATTACAATTACTCGACCCGTGCAGTTACAGTTATTCGACCCATTCCAGCTACAGTTATCCGACCCAGCAATTATAGTTAGGCATTTGAGGGCAAAACACCCCATGGAGTACACAAAATTAAAAGTCAAGGGGACGCAAAGTATTTTTCCCACTTTTTAAAAATAGGCTATTAATTATATTATCAATTGTACTTCATATTTCAATAAATATACATTGAATTTTTTGTATCACTTGTGAATTAGCTTTAAAAAAATTAATATGCTCAACCCGACCCAGACCCGACCAAAGCCCACCCGGGTAGCCCGAACCGGACCGGTCCAGTACATAACTGGGCCGGTACCGAGACTAGTTTTACCGGACCCGAAGCCCGACCCGGCCCTGTCCACCCTAGTTGATACTGTACTTGGAACGATGATATCTGTCTGATTGAAGAAAAATAAGTTGTGAAAAATATTACATCATGAAATTTCCTGGAAAATAAATTGTTCTATAGTATAAATGCTTAGCCCCTTCAAAAAGAAAAATAGAACGGGTAATTGGGTAAATAGCAAGACTTCCTCTTTTAAATATTCCATTCAAATTCAAAGAATCTAGGGAAATGCTTCAAACAAAACATTTCTCCTTCAACCAACTAAAGCCATAATCATTAAAAAATTATTTCAAGTAAATGAGAATGGTACAATATATAAGGACTATAGCATATGGCTGGGATGCTGTGAGAAAATTATTCCTTGTTCAGCACTTTGGGGACATTGATATAAGGCTCCTCATAGCTTGGGAATGCATCTATAATGGCTTCCCTGTCCAGAAAAAATTTGATGTGTTTGAAGTAGGACGAGAAAGCATGCAAATCCATCAACTATGATAAATCGGTAACTAGATAATATTGACAAGTTTAATATCGTACCTGTTTTCAAAACATTCAGGCACATCATCCCGCAAGCTATCGCCTTCGGTATCTATATAGGATGTATTTGAACATTATTAGGCCATGATATGAAAAAAGACATACAGACCAAAATATAATCAAGAGCTACTACCTGGAGGCCCCTCTTGATGAAGTAATGGAACATTGGCAATTAAACAAATTACCAACAAAGTCCAAACATCAATTTTCACTCTTCAATTAGGTTGGTTCACATGAAAGGTTTTGGTAGGGGATGATATGGAGGACTTGGTATGAAACAATGTTGGTAAAAATAATGTTTTCAGAAAAAGGATAGATAAATTGATATTAGTAGGAATTAAGTGTTTTTGCTAGCCTTCTGGGTTAAAACAAATAAGTGTTTTTGCTCAAATATAATCTTGTGCGCATTTCTTCTACTTAACAAATGTTAACAAATTTACTATCATTTGCAATGGAGTTAAAAATTCACTATTTTTTTACTTGGGAATATGATGGAATAAAGCAAAATGGCTCACTAAACTGTATGCGCTTCTTTGTTATAAAGTAGCAGTCAATTCATGCAATTTTCGACACGATCATCCGGACACAGTCTTTTTGTGCTTTAGTACAGGGGCAAGGCTACGTACATCTGACCCCCCTTATCCCCTGTACGTGGGAGCCTTTGTGGCACTAGGATAATGATAATAATGAATGATGATGATGAACAAATGTTAACAAAAAGAAAATTAGAAAATATTTGGGACCAATGTTAAGAGTAATTTAATTTAGTCAAAGATACTTAGTTCCCACTAATATCATAATATTATATGCAGTATCATTTTTTGTTGTAATTTACATGAAGGGTGTCTTTGTACTTTTAGAAATCCTCAAAGAAACAAACCTTAGGAGAGGTAGATGCAGTTAATACTTTTAACATATTAAAGCGTGAGACTTCTTTACAGTTAGAAGGCTGTGGTTTTAAGTTGATAACATGATTGAGTAATAGCTTCTAGATAGAGACAACGAAACTATAACAAAAACATATCTAAAAACATACTTATCCATTTAAATTACCTGCTCTAATGGATGGCTCAATACTTCCAAGATCAACAGCTTGGAGTTGACCAAACCTGCAAAAGAAACTAAATTGTAAAGCAGAGCAGCACTAGAGATGTCTGTCAAACCAAACAATAGCCTATACTTTCACTGATGTTTTTGCAAGTACAAAAGACTGACTATGATATACTCCACTCCCTCCATCTTCAAATAACTGTGTGTTATCTGAAGACACCATGTTCCCAAATCATTGTGACATTTATCGAACCAATAAAGTAACTAACCTATAGTACAATGGCCAAATTATCCTCTGATATTATCTTCACTTTTCTTTGTTATTTTATGATTATAATAATAATCAGTCTAGGTATGTCTGTCAAAATTCAAAAAATAATCATCTTTAAAATTACATTTGTCCATACCAGACCGTCATTAGGCAGACAAGTTTTAAGGTGAAATAGGTTTTAAAGGTCCTATCGTTCTGAAATACTTGCTGTTGATGTACATAGTCAAAGAAGGTGAATGCTTGATGTTACTCTTCTTGATTTAAAAGGAAATTTCTACAATCGAATTTCAGTCATTTCCCTTCAATTGACCTCAAATCACACCATTTCAGTTTAGAATCCAGGATATCAAAGTTCTCCAAATCTGCTCCTCAATCCCCATAGCTAAACCCAAAGCTGCCAAATTAATAAGTTGAGCTGGGTTTTAATGTATCAAACCCCTTGTGATTTAAAAAAGGGAAAACTGTCAAATAGGTCCTCGAACTTTCTTAAAAAGGTCAATTAAGTCCTTCTATAGCAGGTTTTTTCCGGCCGTCGCGATTTGGGGCAGTTCCCGGTGGATTTTTTTGATGAATTTTTTTAAGCATCTTATTCACCAAGTCTAGTTTACTCATACTAAATTTCAGCTAAAAATTCAATCGGGAACACATTCAAATTAATTCTTGAAGATAACTGCGCATTTTTGCGTTCTTTAATTAATTTGAATGCGCTCCCGATTAAATTTTTAGCTTAAATTTCGTATGAGTAAACTAGACTTGATGAATAAGATGCTCAAAAAATTTCATCAAAAAATTCCACCGGGAACCACCCCAAATCGCGACGACCGGACAAAGTCTCCTATAGAAGGACTTAATTGACTTTTTAATGAAAGTTCGAGGACCTATTTGACAGTTTTCCCTTTAAAAAATGTGTCAAACTCCTCTATGTTATATTTAATCATGCACAAAAACCCCTCCAAGAACAATTTTAATTTTCAAAAAAATGAAAAATGATTAATTTTTTTGGATAATTTATAAACTTTGACAAACTTACTTGCATATTCAACCATATTACAAAGAAAAGTGATTTCAAAATTGTAAATGTGTTCTTCAAGGGATTTTTGCACGTGATTAATTATAACACAGGGGGGTTTGACGCATTTTTTAAATCACAAGGGGCTAATGTGCCGAATTTATATTTCACGAGGGATTTTGGTGCATTAAACCCAAATTGAATTTCTTGTATCTACTTATGATCTAGACCTGGGATCGGTTCGGTTCTTGTTAAAATTTGATGGAACCGCATTAAAAATTACAGACGTTAAATTCGGTTCGGTCCTAGTTAAAAATGTTGTTGTTAAATTCGATTCGGTTCTTACATTTTTTCGGTTCCTTATAAAAATTTATCATCCTCTTAAAATGAACATATTTTGCCTTAAGTTACATAAAAAAAATCAAATTTTAAATCATGAAATTATAACCATTACATTATACATACATGATATCACAATGTTCAAATATCACAAAAATATCCATGTGCAAACATAACAAAAAACATAAAGGTTTAAATTAGGCATCAACTATCAAGCCAAGAGATTAAATAGCTTCAAGGTATACATCCGATAGCAGGTAGTTCAACCCCAAAGTAATATTCTTCTACTAGTAATGCACCATAAATAAAAAGTATGTAGCAATAAATTGACCGATACTATTTGTAATTACTATGAACAAATAACAACGTAATCAACAAAGTATTAAATCATGTTTTAGGTGAACTCAAATATCAATACAATTACAAACAAACAATAGGAATTTTATCAATTCGAGATCTCAAGGAATTTTCCCTGACAACAATTTTCCGCCCGGAACGCCGTCTAGACACCTCTATTTGAGGTGCTTCCGGATAGAAGTTTTTGATGAGATTTTGTAAGCATGTTTTACATGAAGTGTAGATTATATCCACCAATTTTAGGTTAAAATGCAATCAGAAAGTGAGTTAAATAAAATATTGAAAAACATTGTTTTTTTACATATATATTTTGGCATAGTGTTTTTCAACAATTTATTTAAGTAATTTCACGATTGAATTTTAAGCTCATATTCGGTGTACATAATCTATATTTCGTGAAAAACAAGGTCACAAAATTTCATCGAAAAAATCCACCCAGAAGCGCCTCAAATGACGATTACTCATGCAATGTATAAGAAGTTCAGTTCCTGTCTAGGAACCGGAACCGAACCGGAACCGAACCAATCGTATATTATAGGAACCGAAACGAAAAAAGATGAAGTTCAAATTTACAGGAACCGAACCGAACCGGAAAATTCGGTTCGGTTCGGATCCGTTTTCCCGGTTTTATGGTTCCAAGTCCCAGGCAATATGATCAGCAAGGTAAATATATTGGTGCATTCGGAGTATCATAAAATTTGGTGTCATATGAAACTGATACCTCAGCTGGGGTGAGAGAAATGCGAGCTGTTGAGGCCAAACGAGAGACATTAGGGGGAGGAAGTACGCTACTTGCCTTTGACGATTGTGTTCGGGTGAAGGCAGCAAAAGCATCAGCCATGGTATTAGGACGAAAGAAAGTAACACTCCTCTGCTTATCAAAAGTAAAGATGCATTCAGATTGTGTTTGGTTGGAGCTTTTGAAGGAATGAGAAGTCTCTCTTTTCCCCACTTTGGAAGTTGTAGAGGTGGTTTGGATTATTGCTTTGCATGTAAAATAAAAACAATCAGCTTCCTGTACATGTTTTGTACACGACACGCAAATTGTCTATGCATAGACAATTTTTTTCATTTCGTGAAAAGAATTATTTTGGACCATTCTTGGTGTATACAAGTTGTACACAAAATGTGTACATTGTCTGTGTACACAGACAATTTGACATCAAGTATTGCCCCTTTTTAAACGAATTGCCTGTGTACACAGACAACTAGGGGGATTTTGTGTACAACTTGTGTACAACTCATGTATACTAAGCACTTTCCAATTATTTTTCACATCGGCGATTTGTTTGTTTGTGGCACAGATAAAAAAAATGTTGGTTCAAAAAGCAATTCTCTTCACAAAAACGAAAATAAATTGTATGTATACAAAGAACTCGATCGATGTGTAAAATGGGTGTACTAAATATGTGTATTACAAAAAGCATTTTCCAAGCAAAAATATGTTATCTACAACGTATGTTAAATGGAACTATACCAAATGGAAAATGTCATCATCACTTTATCTGCACCCAATATTATATGTCATATTAATTGAAGTAGCTCAAGTCAACAAGTTTCGCTAGATGCAACAGAGTTTGTTGACAGCTTTTGAATGAATTTAAGTGGTTTTTATACATTATTGTTTCAGTTTTTTCCCTAATTTGTAAGATTTAAAATGTTTTAATGCAGTTACAATTTTAGTTTCACATATATTTTGTAAAGTTCAATCATGTCATTTTTGAAGCAATTCTTGAGTGCCAAACGGAGTGCCTGTCCTTGGAATCTTGTTCTGATTTCGGCATACTACTACTTTTGAAGTTTTATAGTGTGTTTGTTTCATGTTACTTAAGATTCATTCCTGTAGGCAATACGATTCTTCATAGAAAGTTAAGGTACGACCGTACGAATGTACGATAATGGGCTAGGTAACTCCCACCAAACGCGCCGTTACAACAACTTAAGTTTTGGACTTGGCTACTTGGTTATTTAAGGGAATTTCTAAATACAGCCCCCATCTATTAAGCGCACACACGCAGCATCCGTAACAACATAAAACGATTTTATAATTCCTATTATACCCTCCGTATTTAACACCGCTCGACTGGAGTGATTTTGGAACTTCGCTCATGTCCTCTCGTTGTCCGAACCATTTCCAGATATGAGCTCCATCTCTTCTACTCTTTTCTCGCCTGAGCTCGATTTCTCAAATAGAGGAAGATGAACGGCGAAAGCAAGTGAGCAAACCATTTCTACTCCATCTATTTTAACTTCCGGTGAGTCAGAAAGTACAATCACTTCCAGACCCATTTCCTTTGTCCGGCCAGCTGGTGAAAATCAATAACAACGATTCCATTGATAGATTCATCCAAATCGAGATCGATCTTCAGTCTAATGCAAGAGAGGAGTCAGATACTATACGCTGGCCCTAATTCCGTCCCATCTTGTTATCCCATGATTTCATTAGCTTCCCTTCAGCATCCCATCGCTGGTAAGAGTAAGTTTACTTTGGTGCATCTAAATTTCATCAAAAATGTTGTAATTTCTTTTGTCACTGGTACAAGTATTACACGTAACCAATCAAAATATGGTTTGCAAAATAGGGAGTAATCTAAAAATAAAAAAGTTCCGATACAACTAGTATTACATTGTGTTTTGCTGAACAATGAATATTAGTGTGTTTAGATATATTACTTTAGCAACTTTATAAAAAAGATTGGTGTATCAGCTTCTTAACTCATGAATTAGTTTGAGTGTTATTTTATACGTAGTACTATTTTAAGGTTTCACTAGAAATATTTTCCATTAAAAATTAATATAAAAGATTAATTTTATGATTCAACTGAAACAAAATATCAAAACAAATTGTAGAATGACCAATTGTTTTGGTGACCAGTGTCATGGTCGGGACTGGAGTCCACCATTTCCAGACAGTAATTGAGTTTTAATTTTTGTGATCTGCTTTTGCTTGAATCTTAAGTAGTATATGTGAGAGATATGATAAGTGATCACTTCACCTTGTATAGTAGTGATTTTTTTTATACAATCATATCTCTGTATCCAAATTTTAGGCACTAGACATGATAAATGAGCTTCTTAGGATTCAGCCACAGTTTCTTGTTTATACTCACACAAGTTTGGTGAGAGGTTCAAAGAAAGATGTACACCAAGATGCTACCCATAGGTGGTTCTTTTTAATAAAGTGCTACAAATAGGATTAAAACATTTATAGAGTTCATAGTACCACAACTAAATGTTTTAATCCCCATATGGTTCTACCTGCTCCATAATAACTGAGAATAAAGTTATGTACTACTATAGTACATCAAGATGCTACCCATAGGTGGTTCTTTTTAATAAAGTGCTACAAATAGGATTAAAACATTTATAGAGTTCATAGTACCACAACTAAATGTTTTATTCCCCATATGGTTCTACCTGCTCCATAATAACTGGAAAAATAAAGTTTTGTACTACTATAGTACACCAATGACTAATGCAAGTTGAATCTCGTATAAAATATAAATCTGCAATGTAGACATTCAGAGAAACAAGAAAAAATGAGTTATAACTTGTACATATAACTTGCCACTCCATATAACTTGTACATATAACTCGATCAAAATCGCTAAAAGCAAAGTTTCCTGGGGTTAAGCTTGAGCAAGTATCAGCCTATTTGTCTTCGAGGTCAATAACTTCCTTACTACGATCACCTAAATGTGCTGATTGAATGTCATTAAAATCCTTAATACGAGCTAAATACGGGGTCTCCCAGCCTATTGCAGAATCAAGTCTAAAATGTCTCCAATTTGCAGCAATTGGAGGTATTGGTGCAAAAGGATCCATTGAAACCTACAATATATAAATGATATTAAAATATTAAAATTTATATAGTAAACATTTTCCCATAAAATGCAAATTAAATCTTATAATAAAAATTACCAAGTCTTTTACATACCTGAAGAGGTGGATTAGATCGAAGGGGAAGAAATGTCACACATACAAGCTTAGAAAGAAAGACCAAAACCACTTTATATCTAGAAGCAACCAAATGACCCATGTGTGGTAGAGTCATCCAGTTCTTAAATGGCGCTGGAACTCTGAAATAAGATAACTCTTCAAGTAATTGAGCAACAGTTTCTGCAGACTCATAGAAACGAACATAATAAGGTCGATGGTCGCATAACTCTTCAATTAAATCTTCACGAACTTTTGCCCATTTTTCTTCTCCAAAACCTAGTAAACTAGCAATTGCGCGAAAACCGCAGTGTCCATCCGGCTTGACGTCAATTATGTCAAAGATATATGGGTGCAAGTATGACGATAAATAACCCAAATAATTTAGCAGACTTTTGGTTTTTTTCTTAACAATTTTCTTCCTCACTTTTTGATCTACAACACGTTTTTCACCCAATTCAGAGTCACGCTTAGCAACTTCAGATTCGACAATTTCAAAATATGAAGGGTCACGTCGAGTTGATGAATTTGCCTTCAAAGGAGGACGACCCTTTGTCTTAACTTTTTCGGGTGGTGGAATAAGGAATGTCGTTGTGGGATCACCTAACTCTCTTAACTTTCTCTTCAATGCCAGCTTTCCAGCTTGATCACACCGCTGGAACCGTGTCCATATAGAGTTCATCTCAGTATCAATACTAATCTCAAATGGGACATCACTTTCTTGATGTTTTTGCATATTCAACCTCATCCAATGAGGATTAATATCTGAAATAGGTATGGGTTTAGCGCATCTGACATATTCAACAATTTCATGTGCACATGGCAAGCCGTGTGTGCTTCTCATGACACACCCACACAATTTGGTATCAAGGCCAACATCATTTGCCCTTTCAGACTCAGTCAAAATCAAGTTTAGTGCTGTTCTTGAAATCAAGCCTCGCAATTCTTTGAATAATGCTGGTCTGAAATTGTGTTCTACCACATTCAGACTTTGTTCAAATGAAGCTTTGATTTCAGTGTGCTGCAACAAAATTAAAGCGTTGATTGTCTTCCAAGAACAATCAAAATCTAATTGACTTGAGCCAAGCAATTTCTTCAACTTTGCATGTGCACTCTCGGCTCTGTAAAAGTTAAAAAATATAATAAGTTTATTGTAATTTTTCATAAATGCATAAATACAAAAAATAGTTTACAATTTTTCTTCGTACCTATTGGTTGTCAAATTGCCAAAATGCATAATTTTATTTGTCCAAGCCGCTACAAATCTCTCCTTATAAGGATTCAACCATGTATCTCTTACATATTCAATGACACTGGGATAATTCTGGTAATCGCTTTGAATAACATTCAAGTTTTTAGCATAGTCCATTTCACATGAAGAAAATGTTAGGCCCCTCCAAGCGGCCATGAAACCATCACACTCATCTTTGCATTTAAACAACTTCTTAGAATTTGCAAGGACATTTTTTGTGATATGAAATCTGCATAGAAGATTTTCTGTTTCAGGAAACACTTTCTTAACAGACTTCATCAACGCCAAGTCTCTGTCAGTGACAATTACTTTTGGCACAATATTTGTTGCCAGCAATGATCTTAGCTTTTCCATTGCCCATGTGTAGTTTTCTTGTCGCTCTGCCTCCATGTACACAAATGTTATAGAAAATGCAAGATCAGTACATGTCACCCCAACTATCTCCAGTAACGGAAACCCATATCGATTCGTTTTGTAGGTACAGTCCATAAGTAACACTAGCGGAAAAACATGTAACATCTTTATAGAAGCGGGATGTGCCCAAAACAGGTCTGTCACACAATCAGTTGTTTCATTTCTCCTATGCCATTCCACATACTTATAATCATTCAACTGTTTCATAAGTTGTTGCATTTGTGATCTCCCATCTCTCTCGATAGTTCTATATTTGTGGCGGACATTATATATTGTCTTCATTGTAGTGGTATTCTTCTCATTCTTATCTTTTATTGTGAGAAGTATGTTTCTCGGTTTCACCATATTCTTCGTCATATCTAAGAGTACATTTTCTTCATCTTTATTTAATTTTCCTGTAAATGAGTGGCCTTCTAATTGCGCAGCAGGTGGATGGTTATGATGCTCACAGATAACATTTATACACCAATCATCATCATTTTCTAATTTCACACCTTGCAACATAAACGGACAACCATTTTTTTTGTCCCTGTCCTCTTACGACATGATGTGTTTTTACTAACTACTTTCTTACGAAGTCTATAAGTCCCACCACGTTCACAACCAAGACGCAATCTGGCCTTTCTTCCACCGTTTTTAGCTAAAGAAGAAATAATAACAATCACATAACCTAGATCTTTTCCAGTTTGTCTGACCCATGTGAGTAATTCATCTTTACTGTTAAAGACCTGTCATATAAAATGGCTTACATCACCTTATGCATCCATATTTGTAATTTCTTGATTACTAATTACATGATTTTTACTTACTTTATTTGTGTGAAAAGCTCCAAAGGAATTCAATGAATCCAGCTTTTGTTCACAATTTGAATTCTGTTTATCATGAAGAACTTGTTTAGATTGTGCATAAAATTAACAAAACTGTCATTATTATAGTAATTGATGCACCTGAGATTCATCAACTTCTTGTTTATCATCACTTCCTTGTCCATGCCAAATACTTGGAGAAGAACACATTTAGCAACACTGTTAAACCTATAAAAAAATCATTAGTTGATCAATATATATATATAGACACACACACTTAAAACTGTAAGACTGTAAAACATTTTTTCATACATGTCTAATCTTTTATTTTGTTGATGTCAATGTATATGTTGATGGTAGTACCTGTGAGCATACATGATGTATATATGGTAAGTCCGCTCACATGTTTTTCATTTCAGTAATTTAAGCATAATAACAAATTTCAGCCAAATAACCTTTACCAAATGAGCCATGCGTCTTAGGATCATTAGATTCATTACTATATGTATCAAACATGTTGAATAATACACTTCTATGTTCTCTATTTCTGTGCCCATGGTGGTAAAGGGTCATCAATTGGGAATTGGGATCCCCTGCATTTTGGTAATGGATAACTTAATTATTTAACTGTGATGGAGAAAAACGTGTACTCAGTGTAGTAGGGTCTCAACCACCTAACATTTAGACTACATATATCCATATATGAATGATTAATCCTTCACACTTTTATTTTATTTTGCATATTTACTGAAATATCACATATGCTAGTTATGGGAATCTTGACGTATATTTCATAGGACAATTATATGATAGGTGTTTTTTTAATTTATTGATGCATAATTTTAATGGTGATATTTTTATGGAATTTTAAACATGAGGTCCTACTTTTGGAATATAACAACGTTTTGATCCTATTTGGGCACTCCCTAAAAATAAATGAAAATATTTGCTCTTGATAGATGAAAACATTCATTCAATGATTTATGATATGCCTCAAATAGTTTTTCCTGGCCAATTTAGCTCAATGCCACTGCCATTTATATGGTCAATTGGTAATGAATTAATGGTTGCATTGTTTATTTATTTGGGAGGGTTTCATGATGAACTAATGATAAACATTTAAGATATCTTTAATATAATAATGTTTTGTGATCAGGATGGATATAACGTTGTTTGAACATTGAGAAGAGATAAATGGAGTGACGTCTTCAAGGGGATAAACAACTCCAATATAAATTGAGAAGAAGAAAGATAGTTTCATTCAATGTCCTGAAATATTATTCTGTATGAGTTCTAGAACATCATGGCTTGACAATTTGGTTCTCCAATATCAATGCAATAATATGAATGAAGTGTGATACCAACCTTACGTGGGACTTAGGTAGGGTTTTTTGAGCTTTTTGAATTCTGCGTTGCTGCTGCTGTAATCCCTAGGTTTTTGCGTGTCAAGCTTTCTCTCCTGTATCTCCAGGTGTCTGCCGCTATTCCTAGTCATTCGTTAATCGATCACGGGACAACGTCAATTTAGTAGTAATAAGGGTAATATAGATATTTGCCTTTATTTAATTTATTTTAATTTATTTTTATTTATTCAAGTGGCTGTGATTAGCAAAATGGGGGCTGTATTTAGAAATTCCCTTACTTAATTAGTCCATCCGTCTCTTTAAAGTTTAAACACTGTCATTTTTTAATTTTTTGGTCAATTATGTTGAACTTTGAAAGTATACTTTTATAAAAAAGAACACTATGATATAAAAACGATATAAAAATGACTTTTTTAAAAGTACATTTAATGAGCAATAGTTCAATTATAATGAGTATTAAGAGTCTAATAATGAGCACCGTGTTATTACAAGAAAGCAGATATCACAACTAAACAACGGTGACATTTTCGTAATTTCAGTGAAAATCGCGATTTTCGTTAGATGAGCATTAATACACTTTTAATGAGCATCAAACGTATCCTACTGAGTATTAATAGTCGAATAATGAGTTTTGTGATGTCAACTTCATATATTGTAATTCACTTTATTTTTCTTATTTTTCTTATTTAGTTTATAAACTAAATTAAATTAAACATAACACAAACATTATTTCTCTAACACAAGAAAACCAAAGACTATTGATGATATTAAGATTAATTAGAATTAATGCTTAACAATTAACTATAAATTTCATATTTTAAATAGTTCGAAGGGAAAAACCAAAACCGAACCAAACAACTTCGGTTCGGTTTTTTACATTCGGTTTCAGTTTCTCAGCGCTAAAAATAGGTGTAAGTTTTGGCTGCGGTTCAGTTTATTATGATTTGGTTTTCGGTTTTCAATTTTTCGGACCCAGCCCTAAAAATAGGTGTAAATTTGAGATGTTTTTTCTATTGGACTTTGAAAAAAGTTCTTATGTTTGTAATATTTATTTTTTCTTTGACACTTTGTTGCAAAATATGCTATTTTATATCTGAAAATAAATTTAGTTAAATACATACTTCGTATTACTTACTAATTTTTAACATTATTTTGCAATATACTCTATTTAATTAAATTTTGGTCCCTGCTGAACGTTAATGCTAGACGATCCGCCGCTGCATACGGAGTAATATGAATATATGATACTATGATAATATTATTATCTACATGAGTCCATTATATTTAGTGCCGATGTATAAATTAAATTTAAAATAGACCCATGTCTATTTACAATCTCTAGTGCACATCAGTAGCGATGTTGATAATGTTTCAAAATTTAAAATTTGCACAAATCCCTTCCAATTCCCTCATCATAATTACAGCATGATAAAACTTGGAGATTTAATTACATCAAAAGCCAATATTTACCATCCTCTCCAATGTTTCAAAAGGCCCAAATTAAGATAAAACATTGGAGATTGTAATTATATACTCCGTATGTTTAATAATGAATGCATGATTCCACACATACACATGGTCAAAAGTCTAAACGGAATAATAAAATGCGAAACTTCCCGAAATAGGACTAAAACAATTTCAAAATTCCAAAATAGGACTGCCATATTTTTATTCCTAAAATAGGAGTAATTATTACAAAGTTTGAAAAATACTGCCACGTTTGAAGTCTTGTACTGCCAAAACATGACAGTAATTAGTACTCCCTCCGTCCCGCTAAGATTGTCCCATTTTACCTTTTCGGGAAGTCCCACTAAGATTGTCTCATACCATATTTGGTAAAGATTGTGTGGCTCTACATCATTCTAACTGTATTCTTACTTTATCAATTTAATATCAACCACACAAACCTACTTTTTTTAATAACCGTGCCACTTTCTCTCGTCTCATTCTTAGTGAGACGGAGGTAGTACTATTTTGGGAATAAAAACATGTTGGTCCTATTTCGGAATTTTCAAACTTTTTTAGTCATATTTCGGGTAATATTCTCTAATAAAAATGAACGAATGCATAAATTACCCAAAAGTGGAAATCTAGCTACTCCGATCCTACGGTTTCAATTTTCTTCAGGGAAAAGTTACAAATATACCCCTGTAGTATGAGTGTGGGAACCAATATACCCTTATTCTATTTTTCAGAACAAATATACCCCTCAACTTTTAAAAAGGTGCAAAAATAGCTCTCATGTTCTTATAAAGGGGCAACTTAATCCTTATTGACTTTAAATTAATAAAATAAAGGGATAAGGGTCAGATAGGGCCTCGAACTTGAAAAAAATGTCAAAAAAGCCATATTTAGGACGCTCTGTCCGGCCAACGCCATTTGGGGTGGTTCCCGGTGGAATTTTTTGATGAATTTTTTTGAGAATCTTATTCATTAAGTCTAGTTTACTCATATCAAATTTGAACTAAAACTTCAATCGGGAAGACATTCAAATGAATTCTTGAAGATAACTGTGCCGTTAAAAGCACAGTTATCTTCAAGAATTCATTTGAATGCCTTCCCGATTGAATTGTTAGTTCAAATTTGATATGAGTAAACTAGACTTAATGAATAAGATTCTCAAAAAAATTCATCAAAAAATTCCTTCGGGAACCGCCCCAAATGACGTCATCCGGACATAGCATCCTAAATATGGCCTTATTTGACATTTTTTTCAAAGTTCGAGGCCCTATCTGACCATTATCCCTAAAATAAATTTCAAAAAACATCAAATATAAATTATAAATTTCAAATTTTGAAACAAAAATTTTTAAAAATGTAATAGTGTCCAATTCTCCCTTTTATAGTTTTTATATCACAATTTAATAGTGTTTAACTATGAAATACTATTTCAAAATTTTACTATATGTTTAAGATTCTTTCGAAAAGGTGTTAACATATGTTTTTCAATGTAGAGAAAAATTAATTTTTTGCATTCTTTGCAATATAAAATTACATATTTTGAAATACGTAATATTTTATACTAAAAATATTAAATTGTGATATAAAAACAATAAAGGGAGAAATGGACACAATTACTTTCTAATTTTTTTTTAATTTTTTAAATTTTGATTTATTAATTTATTTTTGGTCTTTTTTGAAATTTATTTTATTAATTTAAAGTCAATAAGGATTAATTTGCTCCTTTATAAAAAATGAGGGATATTTTTGCACCATTTTAAAAGTTCAGGGGTATATTTTTTCAGAAAAAATAGAACACGGGTATATTTGTTCCTCCATCTATACTATATTTATATATATGACCTTTTCCCTTTTCTTTATCCATTCTTCCTGCTTGTATCCCAAGTAAATTTCAGGCATTGTGCAGCCTCATGAAGAATTCACACGATATTGGGAATTGATCTATAGGTCTATGAAGGAAGCCCGCCAACAATGCTCCATTTAGATATAGAAAAAATGGCTTAGATATTACTTCCGGAGTTTGGTTAGACAAAAATATGCCTGATTTAAACCTGGACAAAAAAGTGAATAAAAAAGAAACCATCCGCCTCTCTCTCGGCATTTCTTCTTCGCAGAATCGCAGGCTTCTTCCTTTCTAGCCAACAGACCTCGCAAGGCTTCTTCCTATTTACCCAACTGATCGACTACCTTCTTCTTCACCGCCTTTGTTATTCCGCCGCCGCCGACCTGCCGCAACTCTCCCCCTCCTCCTTCTCTATCGATTGCAACTGAACTCGACCTCCTCCTCCATCATCCTCGATGACCGTGCCTCCACTGAAACTGTCGTCCTCGATGGGAGACGCCTTCTCCAGTGCCGGATCCGGCTTCCTCGGTAGCTGACAACTCGTTTTGGGGCCTCCAAAT